GCTTGGAGGTTCACCACCTGATCCCTGAAGGGAGTAGCGGGAACCTTGGGCACTCTAGGCACAAATCGTTGACCGAAAATGGGTGGAGGTCCCCTACCCTCTTGATGGAGGCCAATGCTAGCAGGAGCAAAGTCTTCATTGAAAGGAACTTCAGCTCAACAGCCCGCAAAAAGGCTCAAATGGGTGCTGCTGTATGCCGTGAGCACCAGAGTCAGGTCCCATGAGGGAATAGAGGGGGGCCGTGGAGGATTTAACCTTCTCGCCTCCTTAAGGAACCTGACGACCAAGTCATGCTTCTTCAACGACCTCCTGCTACGGGGTCGTGGTTAGCAGCGATTGCAGCGACATAAGCTTTAAGGGTGGAGGGAGACAGCCTTCGCTCCAACCCTTGCTGCAAAAAGGACAGCACAACTCTGATCGGGCATCTTCGGGGGTCTTCTCGGCGAGAAGAACACCACTCAACGAACAGGTTCCACTTCAAGCGTAGGCATGTCTCGCAGACGGTGCTCTCGCTGAAGTGATGGTGTCAACTACCTCTTGGGGTAGGCCACTCAGAACCTCCACGTCCCGTCCAGGGACCGGACATGAAGTTTCCAGAGGTCTGGACGCGGGGCTGCAAAAGGACAGCACGACTCCGATCGGGCATCTTCGGGGGTCTTCTCGGCGAGAAGAACACCACTCAACGAACAGGTTCCACTTCAAGCGTAGGCGTGTCTCGTAGACGGTGCTCACGCTGAAGTGATGGTGTCAACTACCTCTTGGGGTAGGCCACTCAGAACCTCCACGTCCCGTCCAGGGACCGGACATGAAGTTTCCAGAGGTCTGGACGCGGGTGCCAAAGGGTGCCCCGTCTCTGAGTCAGTAAATCCTTCCTCAGAGGAATCGGCCAAGGAGGGGCTATCGCGAGGAGCATTAGTTCCGGGAACCAGGTCCGGGAAGGCCAATAGGGTGCCACCAGCAGGACCTGCTCCTTGTCCTCCCTGACTTTGCACAGCAACTGTGCCCGAAGGCTCACTGGGGGAAATGCACACTTGTGAAGGCCCCGCGGCCAGCTGTGTGCCAGTGCGTAAGGGAACTCAGACTGTTCGTGGTATTTTTTCCATTGAAAAGTGTAGCCATTGGACAAATAGTTGGTGCGAGGGCTCGTGCGCACTTTGTGGACGACACGAACCACTTATTCTAATGGTGATGTGGACGTTTTACAAAAAAGCGGGTAATGCCAGCAAATAGGCCATAGGCTCTGTACGGACGCCTCCGGGGGCGCCCTCGAGCTGCGTGGTCACGCACACAA